TTATTGAGAGGTATTTAAATGAGAATAGGCAAAAATCCTGATACTTAATAATCACATCAGCTGATACCCTAGAAAGTATGGTGCAAAGCTGGAAACTCCCATCTCCTTTAGCAACAAAGCAACAGAGGAGCAAAGGAGCAAATTTTTTTTTCATGGTAGCTTACAGTGATACAGGTATGGAATGAAGCTGAACACTCAGAGAATTAGTAGCCACACTTTACAGAGTGCATTAGAATACACTAGAAACTCTGCACCTCGCTCTCCACAGGCTGTTCAACATCTAAAACAAGACAAAAAGCAACAGAATTTGAAAAGAAGGAAAAATAGAGAGATGAAGATTAGATCTGGAACAGAACCATTATTCATTTCCTTCTCACCCTATAATTTATCTTCACTTCTAGCCCCTACCTGTATGTAAGGCTGCCCTGGCTTTCTATCAGGGCACAGATCTGCAAGCCCAGATGAGATATTCATGACTGCCACACTTGGAGTCTTCCCTACAGCACATGGAGGTTTAAATTAGTTCTTTGGTTATACCTTGCTGTTTCCATTCTATGTTCTCCTCCAGTCCCTTCTTATTCCTGTACTAGAACACACTCTCCAACCCACTGCTCTCCTATATATTCAATTAATAAATTAAAAACCTAGCTAACTCTTCTTTCTGTTAACTGGATATCAGCCTTGCTGTCTCATTTCCTAGACCTCCAACGTTTTTTGGTTGGTTTTGCTTCCCTGCTGTGTCTAATTTTTCCATGTCAGAAACCTTGCATTACTCTTTATTAGGAAGCATTTCTTCCAAGTCCCAAATGGTAGGGAACTGCCTCATTCTCTTTGCTATCAACAAGAATTATGAATTATCTTCTTTTTTTCCCAACTTCTCCCTTTAAATCCATGCTGACAGCCTGTACATTGTAAATGATGTTTTAGCCCAGACTCCCCCAGTAACTATTCACAATTTTTTTTTTTTCCACAAAGAAAGGAGAAAAATCTCTTGTGGGACACTTCCTCCTGCAGTACAGGTAGGTACTCTAGTAAGGATGCTAATAAGAACATACCATGGGCACATAGGGGAGCATGCAAAAGCTCTGAGCAAACAGCTACATAGCAGCAGAATCTTTGCAGCGGATTGTGGCAGCCATCTGATTATCTGTGTTCATTGTGCATTGAAGTTACAGCTTATATACTGGCAAATAAAATCCTAGTGTGGGATCAGAAAACACACGCTGCTAAACAAAGCTGATTTATAACAGCTCTTGGACACAATACTTGAGCATATGCTGTAACATTTCTGTATCACACTAGAATGCACCCTTTTTTTTCATTCATCTCACTGTTTTGAATAAAGTGGGTTAACTCTGGAGGCAGATGGGAACTCAGCCAACACTGCCTGGTTACCAGACTGATACAACAGGCATTCCTGTATGGGTAAAAAACGTAATTTCACACACACCCCTGTGCACAATACTACCATTGCCATGGTTAGAGGCAAGAGCACCCATACTCCACTTTCTTATGGCATGGGAGCCCCAGTTAAGTTAGTCTTGTTTTACAAGCTTTCACTTCTCTTGCCACACCATCCTCTGCTCTGTATGAACATATGATAAATTTCATCAAAGAGCTGGCCCATATCAGCACATTTTCTTGTTCTGATGAGGTTCACTGCCGAAAATGCTTGGGGAATTAAAAACAATCTATCAGGTCCTGACATTGTAAACAGACAGTGAACTATGGGTTCTGAGCATCCAGTGGCTAAGTCATGGTGATACTTAGTGCTGGCATATTCCTCTTCCAGTGAGAACTTGTTGCTCTCCTAATGTTTGAGGAACACCAAATCTCCTGGTTATATTTGCTGTGTAGTTCATAAATACTTTGAGCACATGTTAATGCAGCACATCTCACCCCCTCACCCTCACTAAACAGGACTTGGCACTTTTCCCAGATGAAATGAATGGGGCACAAGTGGGTCATAGTTCATCATTTTTACAATTCCTGTATTTTCAAATCTGCTAATAGAGGGAACTAGAATTCCATAAACCTCCGTTAGATGGTAAATATCACTCAAAGGAAATGCACATAGTAAATGAAAATTCAGAATGTCACGTAGTCTTCTGTGTTCAGGACAATAATCCTTGCTATTGACTGTAATCTCCTTTGCCCCAGCTATTTTTCTTCTGCAGGAATAAAACGGAAAAGTCAATTTTGAGGAACTCTGGCTAAGTGATGTTTGCCCTGTTTCCTTCAGAGGCAACATAGGAGACATCTGATTTCTGTGAGCAAGGCACTGGGGTTTCTATGAAGACCCACTCCTCTTTTAGAAATTGTAATGTGTGACTAAGGACAAGTCTGTGTAGGCTGCAATTGCAGTGACATACCTACAATTGCTAAAGTAGCTGATACTACCAATGAAAATTTATCATAGAATTATAGAATACACTGAGTGGAAAGGGACCATCAGGTACATTAAGTCCAACTCCCTGCCCTGCGCAGGACACCTCAAGAGTGACAACATGTGCCTGAGAGCATTGTCCAAATGCTTTTTGATCTTGGTGCTGTGACCACTTCCCTGGGGAGTCTGTTCCAGTAGCCAACCACCATCTGGGTGAAAATCTTTTCCTGACATCCAGCCTAAAACTCTCCTGACTCAGATTTATGCTGTTTATTTGAATATTTGATAAGAGTGAAGAGATCAGTACCTGCCCTTCTGCCCCTCCATTTCCCTCGTGAAGTCGTTGAAGAGCACAATGAGGTCATTTTAGAATTCTACAGTAAGCATTCAAAGAAAGCAGAAAGAATGTTTACAAGCATATTACACTATTCCATTTCAACAGCTGGGTACATGGAGGATAACTGATGCTTTAATATCAAAATATTTATTGCATTTTGAGTGTTCTGATAGAAAAAAAAAAGGAAATAATATGAGGGCTTTTAAAAGAATATGGCTCCAACTGCATGACAGGATATTCTTGTTTGTTTTTTTACTCTGAAGTGAGGATGACTGTTCTAATCACCATGCAATTGCATTTATCCAGCTTAGACCAATCTTAACTCTCTATTTGATTTATTCATGCTTCTTGTGACACATCTATAATCAAGATTAAGTGGTGATGACTTAGGTGAATGTAATAAAACATCTACCACAGATTCACACTTAGCATAAATAGAACTCGAATACTACCGGGTACACTGTTCCAGCAGAGGTGCCAATATCTACCCACCAACAGATGCCAGGTGTTTCTTTGAAGTTAAGGTAGGCCAAAATACAATACAGCCCTCAATAAAAAAGGCTACAGACTAGCAGTTCGCTTACACAGCATAAGTACTACAGACAAGCAGAAGTGACAGCACTTACGAAGTTCCTCAAGCATGTTCTTATGACTTGAATGACCTTGGGTTCCTTTGAAGACATCCAGTGGGACATTACACAAAACAAACAAACACCACCAGTCCCAGTTCTACACGCACTCTGACAGCACTCTGTCTGGAATTCTGACAGCACTCTAAAATCAATCCAAAAGTAACATGTGGCAAGAGAGAGGCATCCTCATCTGATACAAATTAGAGTAGTTCCATTTCTAGACTAGAATCAAGAATAATGAATCTAGCATCTTCTCTGACACAAGACTGTGAAAGATGCTAATCTGACAGTCTCAAAAATGGTTACTCTACAAACTAGTTTTAGTCTTTCATAATGTAAACTAGTAAAGTGAAGCTAGCTGGTGAATTTTGTTTCAGCAAATTTTATTCAGCAAGTTTCTTACATGCCAAAAATCTTCATACATGGTGGGGAAAGGGGATCTGTCTCTCACCTTCTAGCCTCCAACTCCAATCACAAGGTCACTCTCAATGTTAAATGCTATCAATTTCCAAGTATTAGTGCAAAGCGCATATTTAAACCTTTTAAAAATTAAATAAATGGGGTGGGTTTTTACATCTTGTTCTTTTAAGTGAGCCGTTTTAAACAATACAATCCACACACAGAAAGCAGCACCCAGTGTCACTGCTTGACTATCATTAGCCTCCTGAATGTACTGCTTTAATGCAATAATATTGGAAAGCAAGCATATTAATGACCATGATAATGATTTGCCAAGCAAATGCCTTCAGTCATATTTTTCTGGTGGTACTAATCATTCTCTCATCATACAAACTTTCCTTGAGATTGTGAATGTTCAGCAAATTACATTTTCAGAGTTCTGCTGCCTAAGGATGAGCATATGGTTTAAAAAAACCCTCCAAAACAATGCTGCCCTAAGGGACTTATGTACATGTAGCAGTAAACGAAGAGCATTTCACTGAGTTAGCAAACCCAAGATTCTGGTCTGGGTACAGCCAGAACATATTTTCTAAGCTGAAGTGTCGTTCATGCCCTCGAAAGGACTCCACCCTGAAGGAGTCATGCTCACCCCAGTGAAACTCCTTCCATGCAGCACGGCTTCACCCAGGCCAGGTGACCTCTTTACATCAATCACGCCTTTAAGGTGCAGGTCTCAGCACGGAGTCATAACCACCTTATATGTATAAATACTTTTCTTAAAAAAACAAAAAACAAACAAAAAGACCCCCACAACCCCAACAACAACAAAAAAAAACAGGGGAAAGTGCGGGGGAGTTGTCCCGAGGGCCTCCCTCAACAAACTGTTCCGTCATTGGAGCTGTTGACCCTACTCCGGCCTCAGCGAAGAGCCCACGGGGCTAAGAGTCCTCACGGCCGCCCGGGGCCGCAGCTCACCTTCCCGGGCAGGACCCCGCAGCTCCGTGCCGGGCCATCCCGGCTGAATCCCATCCCGGGGGCCGGCAGCCCCGGGGAAGCGCGGACCCCAGCCCGGCGTTCCGCCGCTGCGGAGCGGACAATGACCATCCCCGCCGTGCCGTCCGTCCCGTCCCGCCCCCGGCCATCCGCTCAGCCCCGCGCCGGGGCGGGCTGCTGATAAAGGCAGGGCTGCTCCGCTCCGCCCTGCTCTGCTCCTTGCTCCCTTCGCACCGCTCTCATCCGCTCGCCCCAGAGCTGCTGCGCCACGCCGGGAGGCGGAGGTGCCCTGCCTGTCCTTCAGGCCGGCAGGCGAAGGTACCGCGGGGCCGGGACGCTGTGGGCCGGGACAGGGTGTGCGAGCTCGGTAGGAGGATCGAGGGCCGCGGGCAGCCGGGCGCTGCGGGGCAGCGACGCGTCCTGGGGAGGCGGCCTGAGCGGGGGTGAGCCGGTCACTGCAGCTGAACGCGGCTCCTGCGGTTTCTTATGATGCCGATTGGGTTGGTAGGCGCGCTGTGCCAAGTGAGAGTTAGCTTATCCAGCATCCCCAGGGGGCGAGGAATTTACTGCTGCACTTGGGCAGCCTTGGCTACAGGAATACTATACGTTTGTGGGATTGCAACTCTCTCGGTACAGTGAGAAAAATTCATCCTTGCCAAACGCTGCTCAGGCGATTGCGTGATCAGACTTTAGTCCTTCGACTAGCAGAGGTGGTGTCCCTTCAGCTGCCAGACTCAGTCCTATGATTCGTGAGCAGTGGTGGTCCGTGAGACTCTGTCAGGTCTGTAAAAGCCTGTCGGTCGTGAGCGGTGGCACACGGGCCAACAAGCCTTTGCTGGTCAAGTTTATCTGCACTCGATATCTGTCTGATACTTCCCTACCGCATAAAATCCTTCCACACTTACGTGTGTCTGGACACAGGCATACTAAAAAACAGTACAAGGCATCACAAGTGATCTGAGGCTGGCCACCTTGGTTAATTCATCTGTAAATACATCCCTGCACACTTTAGTTGACAAGCCAAATCGGCCAAGTGAGTGGCAAATTTAATTGTCTGTATGCATATGCTTGGTTACAGTAGCTGGTGTAATCAGCAATACTAATCATTGAGTGAGAATGGAGACCCAGTCAAACCTGGTTAGGGGAGAGATGTGTCCACGGAAATTAAGCATCTCGTTGAAAGACGCAGAGTTAGTCTTCTAAACAGGAAGCCTCCTGTGGTCTGTATGCAGACTCCATTAAGTGAAAATAATACTTCTCTGAAAGATCTAATGGGCCTCTGACCTATACAAGCCTAATATATGAATATTTTACTTAAAGAATTACTGTCGTGAATTTTAAACTGAGTTTAGGTCAAATTGTGTATTGCCTCTGACAGCAATTTTCTCGCTTGGTTTTCCGTAGGGATTATTTTTAACACCCTTATCTATGCCAGAGATACCAGTCCCCTTTCATGCAAATGGAGGGTTTGATGTTGAGTGCATTAAATTAGTGCAATCAAGTTAAATTCAGCAACTGCATTTATTTTAAAGACTTGTTGCTTCTGTTTTAGACTCAACAAAGAACCTGTGCTTCCAAAAACTTGTACTTTATAACTCTATTGTTGCTTAGAACTGTAATAGCTCTATAGATAAGAGAGCTTATTACAGGAAATGCCAATATTGGCTCTGGAAAAATGTTCCAGTGCTCTTTTGATATTTGTTTCACTTGTTACTGGTGTAACTGCCTCCGTGCACATTTTGTCACATTTTAATGAAAATGAGGAATAGAAAGTACTCAGCGGAAAGCATTCACCCCATAACTTTGCCAGAAAGATCTCTTTCTGTTTCTAGTTTCTTTCTTGTTTTTCTACCCACTATGTCTTTGACAAATGTTTTTCTGTTATCAGAACAGTTTTAACATGTCCTAATGTTTCTGCCAGAAAACTTTCTGAAGTAACTAGCTCCGCTCTAGCAGAGGCCTGTTTCTTTTCAAGACTGGCCTAGTTTCCCATGTAGAAAACCTGAGACTCATGGTTACACGTGTGCGTTCACATGCTGAATTTCGTGAACTTTGCTCAGAGTAGCAGAGACCTAAGTGACTTATCTCCTGGCACTTGTCAAACACGATTGCCTATACACATAGATAGCAAAGTTAACTAAGAGATGTAATCAGACTGGGCATGTAGTGCTGAAGGTTGAAGTGTAAACGCCAGTGTGCTCTATCTTTAGCTGAGAAAGAAGATGTCATTGCTTCATAATGTTGTTAGTCAAAGATTAAAACCTGTTTTGACCAAAGATGAATTTCTTGCACGGCTTTTGTACACTGGGAAATAAAATAACATTCCTCCAAGGACTTGAAGGCCTGCTTGGTGTCAGCATTACTGGGATGTGCACAGATTGTGAGGTTAAACTCATACCTGAGGTAGTATGATTCCTATGACAAAAGCTTATATTTGCTTCATGCAGGGAGGTGAAGAGAAGAAACTCAACAACTTTGCAGTGCATTTTTAAAGAACTCTGTTCAACTGCAAAAGCAGACTCTCCTCAATAATGGTAGTACAGGTAGCTGAAAAGTCAGTACTGACAGACATTTATTTGTGTGCTTTGGAGATTAATAAGCATATTGTCTTCTGAAGCTCCTTATACTAATGTTTTTTCAGCACAATTGTGACTGTGACTTGTTCTGCATATGATTTCATGGTGACAAGGAGTGCCTACAGAGCAAAAAAAGTTGTAGTCCTAAAAACAGAACTTTTCCTGACCTATAGTACTAGTTTGTGAGCACAAAAGCTCTTTGATCAAACCGTAAGTTTTGATTTGTAATTGTCATGCATTTCTGTTTGAGATGCTGAATGGGCAGATTTTTGTTAGTAGTAGTAGTATGCATTTATTTATTTTAGATCTTTGTCCACATTCTGTCAGGGCATAGAATGAAACCCATGGCATGAGGGATGAGGAATTTCTAAAGTAGATGAAGGTAGGTGTTTCCTACTGCTGCTGAATGGTAAATTAATTGTGTACTGCATCCTGGAGGAAAGTGGAAGCAACCTGAAAATGAAACAGAAACAGGACAAATGGTGTAAGCCTGTGTATTTTTTTGAAACAACAGTCAAAAGCAGGCTAGAGAATATATTTAGAATGGATCTGAAAATATTTTTGCAGTGTTGATGTTTGCATTTTCTCTGTGGTTTACCCGATCTGGTAAATGTTTTGGGTTTTTTGTCAGGTATCTGAAGAAATAACCTGAAGATGAACTTCTTCCTGGAAACATTAAGATTCATTGTATTTTTTGTTTATTACTTACTGGAGTCACTGGTGTTCTTGGTTGTTCCTGTACGGAAGAAGAATGTTAGTGGTGAAATCGTATTAATAACAGGAGCAGGAAGTGGCATTGGAAGACTCTTAGCAATAAAGTTTGCCAGCCTTGGAGCCACTGTGGTCCTCTGGGACATTAATCAAGAGGCACTCAACTGCACAGTTAAAGTGGCCAGAGAAAATGGAGCAGGAAGAGTACACTCTTATGTCTGTGACTGTAGCAAAAGACAGGATATCTACAGAGTAGCTGACCAGGTAAAGTATCTTCTTTGTGGCTTTGACATTATTCTGAGTGCAAGCGTGGGTGTAAGATGCATGATTAAGTTTTCTAGTGGATTCAAAGCAAGAGATTAAAGTTAATTCATTCTGAATGTATTGTGCTTCCTATCTATTTCAAGAATTTTGGTTTTTAGAGTTGACTGGTGTATCTCTATTCCTTAAAAAATAAAAAGAGACGGCTTTCTTTTTCAGTAGCACATTTTAACTGGGTAGCTTCTCATTCATTCATTCAATTACCAAGCAGGCACTTAATCGTGAAGTGCGGAAAATCAATTTATTGAAGCTAAAGCAGTATTTCAAGTTCTGGCAGCCTTTTACCAAAAGACCATACATTGTAAAAAGGATTAACTGCTTAGGCAATTTTCAAATAATTCCATTGCTGTGAAGAGATTTTTGCAGACTTACTTTATCTGAATTAATAAATGTATCTTGATGTCTTAAATATTTCTTTCTTTCATTTCTGAAGAGTTTTGTAAACATAGTGTGGGGTTAGATAATTTGGACAGACTAGCAGTATTGCCAAAAGCTAAAATTGTTAAACAGTTTAAAGTGTAAGAACCTGTTCTCATTGGCTTAGAATTTGCTAAACGTAACTGTTGAACTAAGAGGTTTCCACAGTGAGTATTGCCTGGCGATGAATTTTTTTTGAAAGAAGTTCAGCTGTCTTCAGGAACATCTGTTGGCTCAAATAATGTTTTGGTCCTCTTTAAGAAGCTCTAGCCTTCTGTCTTTTTCTATCTGTGCAAAAATTACTATGACAAGCTTTCAGATGCATGCAGCTTGTGCATGAATTGCAGCTTGTTAGGGGATGGTGCTATTGGTTTTGTATTCTAGTAATAATGATCAGCCTTAGTCCCCCTTGCAGCTCTGTTACACCAGCTGAGCTGGACATCTGCTGTCCTTGCAGAGAAGTTGCACATCTCTCCACAGTCCTGCTGTGGACCTGCTGAACTGGGAGAACTGGAGGAAGAGTATTGTAGTGAATGAAGCAGATAAAAATTAACCTTTAGTTTTGAGGACTTGAATTGAGGGCGCTGTGGGCCCATGGAGAAAAGCAGTGGCTGAGCCATACTGGCCAAATTGAAAAGAGAACAGGGTGTAGATCTGTGTGAGATAAGTTCAGGATGATGCAAACAGAGCTAGGCAGGAAAAAAAAGTTGTAGTAGGGTCCAGTGCATGGTCCCTCACTTGAAACCTTCTGTCAGCAGTTCAGCAACTGTCAAGATTCACTAATAATCCTCATGCTGATCTGCATAGAAGAAAACACCGTACTACCATTATTGCAGAAATGGCATGTCCTGCTGCTGATGTAGAATCATCCAATCTTACAGTTACAAAAATACTTTAGTATTAGGTGGTGCTCAGTTTACTTCATGCAATGTAGTAGACTTTGGTTCTTAGTGTTCACCATCAGCCTTTGCAAGATATGACAGCAAGGTTCCAGGTCCTTTTTTCCATCTGGTGATTCAGCTTTATGCAGACTTGAAGTTTTGCAGGACTATATTCATGTTGGCAGAGCAGGATATTTTTGAAAACTTTGCTCCCAATAAAACAGTCTTAAAGCCAAAATGAAATGTATGTGAATCTTTAATATATACTTCATCAGCCACACAGAGACACCACGAAAAAGTTACTTTGGTAGGAAGAAAACCCAAAGGTTTTGCATGTATCAGGTCATTGTTTCTTTCCAATAGGAAATAATAGGATCCAATAGGATGAAGAACAATCTTTTAGCTATTAAAACCTATAGCTTAAAATTTATTTCTAATGTCCCTGTTCCAGAAGTACCCAGCTCCTAAAGCTTAGTTAAAAAAATAGACAAGATTGGAGAAAGTTTAAGGAAGATTTAACTTAAGCTAGAATAAAGGATAGGTGATAAATTGGTCTTTAATTCTTCACTGTTATACCCATTTCATTTTTCCCAGATAACTCAGATCAATGACCTGTACTTCAGATTCTATATTAAATATTTTCATTCTCCTTTGGAGAGCTGACACAATATCATGCTATCAGCTGGCTTACAGTTCTCTCAAATCAGTCTGTTCATGAATGTTCTCAGTCTGGAGCTAAAATGAAAACTATGCTTCCTCTTACTAAATTAAATGTATAGATATTATTTTTTATTCAACTTAATTTCTGGGGTAGAGTGCACCAGATTCTAACCCAGAATTGCTCTTTAGTTTTAAGATGTGTTTACTGTGGCAAAATACTTTGTTATGTTAGTTAAGCTTCCTGCATTAAAGACTTACCTGGAACATTTGTCCTCGGAAACAGAGGTGCTGAAAGCAGAAGCTTGTGTGGAGCTGTTGGACTCCACAAATCTGAAGAAAATCCATTTGAGAGCTCACCTTTAAAAAGGCATCAGGTGAGACTGCAAGAAGCTGAGGTGTTTGGATCCATAACAAGCATAAGTTCAACTTATTTAAATGTATAATATTTCTCTTTGTTAAGTTTTCATATATAATACTTGGAAAGAATGTTTTGTATTTATTGCACACTATCTTGGTGCTTTTTGTTTTAGGTTAAAAAAGAAGTTGGCGATGTCAGCATCCTGATCAACAATGCTGGTGTTGTAATTGGGAAGAGATTTCTTGATTCTCCAGATTCACTTGTAGATAAAACCATGGAAGTGAACACGATGGCACACTTCTGGGTAATATCTGTATTTTGTATGTACATACTAAGACATCCTTTTAACATGTTTTCAGTGTTAATTTTGCCTTTTGGAAATGAAGAAAACGTGAGGATATAGAGCTCTTTGGAAATTCAGTCAGAAATTATACAAGAAATTACTTTGCTCTGGAGTCTGTAAAATTTTTTAAAAGTGTGGAAGAATGGATCCTTTGGGAACCTCTAGTGTAGCTAGGTGGAAGCACTTCACATTGAGAAATTCTCTTAAGAACAGAAGTCTACCATCTGCTAAATTCTGAGGTTAGTCATATGTTACAGTCTCATTATTAATTGACATGAAGCTGGCCCACCCTAAGAGTTGCTGCCCCTAGTAACAGAGACGTGTTCAATTCTACTTCAGTTCTTCTGCTCTGTTAGTGTTCTAATTGTTCTGTAGCTATGATAATTTCAGCAAGAAACACCACATCTTCTGATAATCCTCTTGGTAGTAAGTGAAGCTTTTATCTAGATTGAGTAACCTGGTGTGTTTTTTCTTCTTTTCAGTGAAAACAGGTCACCTATATGGTGTTTCTACCATAAAGAATTGTAAAGAAAATATTCAATCACATTTCAGTTTATCTAGAAATAAATTTAATTACAGAGATTTAATGAATTTAATAGAAGGAAAACATGAAATTAAAATCTTTGCCATTTCACAAAATTTGCAGTGAACACTTAATTCTCATTTGAAAGAAACTTCATGACTAGATTAAGTTATATATTTAGCTTTCATGAAGTTACCATCTGTCTTTGGTAGTACTGGTGCGGTAGGAACTCCCCATTTAAATAGCTGAAGGTTGTAGTTCAGACAAGCTCCACATACATACACACATCCTTTCCATAATGGAAGGGGAAAAGCTTATTTAAACTGTTGGGAGAAATTCTCTAAAATCAACAAGCACCTTCAAAATATTATGCCGTGTAGCTTACTTAGTAAACTGTTACATTGCAACTCTGTTTTCTTTTGCAGACTTACAAAGCCTTCATCCCAGCAATGATTGCTGCTAACCACGGACACTTGGTTAGCATCGCGAGCTGTGCAGGGCTGTGTGGAGGCAGTCAGCTTTCAGGTAGTGCATTAAAGCTAATAAGTTCGATTTTAAACTCTGCAATCAATATCCATGGGTGAAACAAAACACTGATTTTGAGTTTCTGGATCATTCTGTAGCAAGTAGTCAGACTTCCAAAACAGCTGACCTTAAATAGACTGTTTCTTTACAAAGCATTTTCCAGAAGCTCAGCAGTGCTGTTAAACAGGTTTTTCTGCCAAGGCAGAAGGATCTAGAAACCATATAGAACTTTGGAAGCTGAGAAACTCAATGTTGTTAAAATTTAATTGTAGGTTTCTGATAGGGAAGAGGCCACTTTAGATTTAGAGGAAGCTCAGAAGGCATTTCTGAAACATGTATACAAAGAGGGAGGAATATGAAATGAGGTGGCATAGCAATAAAAGAAATCTAGCTTCAAGGGAGTGATAATAAGTACAAATTGAGTTTCAAATTGAAACCACATTAGAGAGCCTTGAAAACATGAGTTTGAGGTATAATAAGTGAGTGCATGGATTTAAAGAAAAAATGGTATGCAAAAATAATTTAGTTGACTGTTGTTCCTTAGAAAGTGGAAAAGTGGTAACAGGGATGACTTGAGAAACCCTCTGTCAGTCTAGAACAACAGTTGATTTAGGAGAGGAAAGAAAAGGAACAAATCACATCAAAAGCAAATTTTAACCTAATCCTGAAAACCATTCTTATTCAGATGTGAAGTGGTTTAGTATTGGACAGTAAAGTTTAATTTGTAAATTTAAATATTTAACTGCAATTAATGTTTTATTTTACAGATTACTGTGCAAGTAAATTTGCAGCAGTTGGTTTTGCAGAGTCAATTGATATGGAGCTGAGAGCTCTGAGAAAGACTGGTGTTAAAACCACAATTGTGTGTCCTTTTGCCATAAACACAGGAATGTTTGATGGTGTTAAATCCAAGTGAGTAAAGTCTTGTGAGGATTTTATGCATTTTTAGCATGCTATAAACTCCTATTTCCTTTATGAAAATCATGAGCCAGGCTTTTTTCTGCTTGTATTATTTTTAGGGCTTCAGATTGGTGTTAACAGTGCTATCCAGTGACTAGGCAACTCAAAAGTCCTAGGTGCTTTCACATTTCAGCTTAAATGAATAGCAAACATAATCGGTGTCCTTTCCTCTGCAGAAGCCAAGTGCTCCATTTGTCCTCTCTGGTTTCTAAATCCCCATTCTCCTCCTGAAATTGATGGCATAGCTTTGCTCATTATGCATATATACTGACAAAGTTTAGGAGCCAAATAAAAGTCTGGTGTGTCTTAACATGAGATATCTGGTTTTATCTTATGAGAGGTCATACGGGGGAAAATAACAATATCCACTCACTCTAACAAAATGACAATTCTGTTGTTCATAGGACTTGTGGTATTTATTTCTTTTTTTAGTTGAATAACTGTAAAATTGAGACTTTTTTGAATAAAATGTGAATCCAAAGCAATTTGTATTATAGCAATAAATATTTTCTTTTCAGGTGGCCAAATCTGCTTCCTGTGCTGGATCCAGAGTATGTGGCTGACAGGATAATCAGTGCTGTTCGGCAGAACCAAGAAATGTTGCTCATACCACGCATCCTTTATGTTTTACACTTTTTTAAAAGGTAAGTTATGTTTCTTTTCCCCTCTCTCTTTTCTGTCTGGGGATGCTTAAATTATAAAAGAGGCTTCTGCTCATTGGTGTGAATTTTCATGAAGTTATGCATGTTTTTGAAAGGGGTTTTTTTTGTTTGTTTGTTTCTATGGGTTCAGTCTACCCTTGGGCCACAGAACAATGACAGAAATGTCCAACTGTGCCTTGCTGGCTCCATTGGGGTGCACTTTTACTGGGGGCTGTAGAGACTGGGCCTGCTTCTCCATGACTGTATGTCAGAAAATTATTGGTTGGAAAAGACCTCTAAGACCTCTGAGTCCAACTGCAAACCCATCTGGTGTCTTGCTCCAGCATTTGGGCCTTCTAGACTCTATTGCAAGTCAGGTTGGACTACTGATCCAATAACTCAGGCTGCCAGATGAGTGTAAATGTTATTTTGAGAAGACCAATGGGTCTACATTCTAAAGAGTGTACTGCCTTTGCCAGTATTAGCCGTGTTAAACTAATCCTGTGATAAAACTGAATAACTTTTCTGATGTCTCTCTGTTCCTTTTTATCTTCTTCCTCCATGTCCCTACCTTACAGCTTCCTACCAGTGAAAGCAAGTGTTCTCCTTTTAGACTACTTTGGAGGCCTTGATATCATGAATACCTTCAAGGGTCGACAAAAGAAAGAGTGAAAAAGCACAAAATTCAGAGACCAGCAGCTCTAAAGTGGGTGTTGTTAAAGGTGGTGGTGGGAAAGGTTCGCTTCACTAGCAGCTATGAACTTTGGGTGCCTCATCTCTCAATAGTAACAAGATTTTCAAGAGTTGCTTTTTAACTGGCTCTTTATCAACAGCTTTTATCTGAAATATTTTTTTTTAGTCCAGAGAATTTTTTTCTTTTCACCTCATTATGAAAATACATTAGTTGAATTTAGTTGCTTTGGTTTATAATGCCTTAAATGTGATCCTGCAGCACAAACCAATATTTGGCAACTTTGGGGGAGGAGAAAAGACCAAGAAACTACATGTATTTACCAGGTAGCCAGAAAAGCCTGTAGTGGGTCTGACTTCTTGCTGCCATTCAGTGAACCATGAGGATAGGCTGTACTGCCATTACCATTCCCTGGTAAGCTGAGAAATTCAAGAATTTCCTCAAACAATATTTCTAAGTCTTACAAATAAAAGTTTTGTGAGATAAAAATATGCACTGTGTTGGTGAAAAAAAACAATTACATTTATTAATTTTTGGAGGTGTGATCTCTCAAATCACAGATGACAATGGATGTTGGGACAGGGAAGGGTATATAAATTAAGCATTTGTGTTGCTAATATACATCGTGCCTAATTTACTTTGAAAGCTAATACCATGGCTGCAACTTTGTAACAGAAGGTTTTGTATCTTTTAAGTGCAGTATTTTAAGAACTGCTTTAAATTTTCATCTCCTAAGAAGAATAAACTTGTTTTTATGAAGCATGAGACTGCCAGTCTAGGTGGTTATTCAATGTCTTGTCAACAAAGACAACGAGCTACTAAAAGCAAGGGTATTGTGTTGTACAATAGGAGTTTCTCTTGGGATTATTTCAGAAAGGAATGATGCTGACAGAACTGAATGATATAATTACAGCCATCCTTTGAGTAACAGCATAATGTTTTGCTTCTCTGAGTCGTGTAACAGGTTGCCTGTGTCTACAGAGGCTTGTTTTACTTTCCCTTCTCTCTTAGGACTGTCCACTTATTTTGAGCATATGCTGAAGAGGCATTACCGCTTTTGACAATGGATGCTTAGAAAGCTACCTTGACTTTTTGTAATCCAAAACAAGAAAAAAGGAAGCTTATGTGTATGTCACGTCTGTACATGTTAAGTCCACTTCATGACACAGTTCTCTGCTAGCAATTGGTACAGCAATTGAAACAGTGTGGAGAAAAGGGGGACTTTTTAAAAGGGAAGTCATTTTTTCTTTAAATGATGACCTAGAAACTACCTTCATTTCCCTTGTCTATACAAATAGTAAGGTTTATTAGCAGAGAAAGGTTCACATAGAACTATTTCACTACTGATGAGCAAGAGACACTGAGTAAAACAGTGTGTTAAAAATCACCTTACCTTTATGATGGATTGATGAGAGCTATTCAGAGCTCAGAGAGAATTCAGACTGATGAAGAAGATATTTGTTTCAATCTCCTTTCAGATCTTCAGCTTTTCTTTCTCAAAATTTTTTCTCCTATTACAGTACACCTTAAGAAACAGAGGTTAACCAAGTAAAAAAGAGATTCTCTCAATGTGCAGTCCATACACATATTGCACTGTTCACAAATTCTACCACTGATAACTATGGGGTGTATTTGTGTCTTAAACCTCCTTTTATGCTAACAGAACAGACTTTTCCTCCTGGCTAAGAAATACTAGATATGCAGAGTTCTGGAGCAAAGGGTAAAAGTGAACTGTGCATATGAACCTTGAGTATCAAACTCCAACTCTAGTAAGAGTGAGTAGATTTTCATTTTTAGTGTCTTTGTGAACACATTCTGCTGAGGAAAATTAGAAGCAGTGATTCTGGCAGTGGGATTTGGGGTTTCTCAGCAGGTTCATGTTTGTCACAGTTCTAGGAGGATTTTACCTGATAATCTGTGCCAGATAAATACATCTCCAAGGGATTTTACTACTTCACAGAATCAGTGGAAAGGACCTGTGCTCAGTTAAGTTTTGTATATCTCTAAGGCTGGAAACTCCACAACCTCTCTGGGTAACCTGTTCTAGTGTTTGTTCACACTCTGTTTCAAAACAAATAAATTAAAATTATGTGTAAATTGAATGTACTTTTTTTCATGTCCTTTCAGAGGATACCGCTAAGAGTCCGAGTTTGTTTTTAACACCTTCTTTTTAGGTACTTTTACACATTGGGGCTGAGCCTTTTCTCAAGACTAAGCAGTCCTAGAAATCTCAACCTCTCTTTGTGTGGCAGGTGCTTCAGTATTTAATTATCATTGCAGCCCCTCACTGGACTCACTGAGTATATTCAAAAACTAGTTATAAGTGTATTCACATCTCTTAGAGACCAATTTCTGTACTAGACTGAGCATGCATAATATGTCATACAGAGCTTCAGTAGAAAATCTCTGCTTACTAGCTGTCCTAGTAGGAGTACACAAATAATGCCTTTATACAAATGTGCTGCTACCACATTGTATATTGTGGTCACTAGTAAATTACATCATGTGTCTGGAGGATAACAGCCTATCCTGTGGTGGTTTTTATCTCCCCCAGTTCCTATGCTGGCAGGACAGATGTGGAGTTGTATTCTGGAGGCCAAACAGCACACATCCTTCCCCTGAGTTCAGGAGACTGCACAGAGCAAGTGTTTGGATCTTCAACTGAGATATGTCTTGAGATAAAAGGTGGCTTAATTCCAGCATAGCAGTGATCTTGACTGATTACTTTCCTGATGCCAAAACTGAGTCTTTCCTTCTGCTTTGGCAAGAAAACTCATGGAAGGATCACTGTGACACCCAAACAAGAAGATAAAACTAGAAAAGGAAGAGCATTTCAGTTGTGACAGGATAATGTCTGACTGCTGGATGGTAAATCAGACAGCTCCCACAAAAGAATTGATTTCATGGCCACTGCTTGAAATTTTAAATAGCCTCTCCCCAAACATGACAGCCCCAAATTTGACTGGGATGGCTCGATTGGCCTAATAATCATGGTTATGGTAATTCAAAGTCAATCCATGGTATTTTATTGCCTCCTGTATTTCTTTTCCATGTGAGATCATATTCCTGCGGCAGCTAAAATCTTGCTGTCCCTTAATGCTTCGAAACATGGAGAACATAGTGCCAAGAAAAATCAACTCGATTAAATCCTCTGAACTAGATTGAGAAGGAAAACAAACAAAAAGCCAGCAGCTGAGATATAAGCTCCATTATTATTTTATTAATTTGAAATTTGTACCCAGGAGCTATGTGCACCTGCTTGGAATCTGGTGTTCATGGTGGTCTGGTTTCATTTTATGAAGGAGCCCAGCAGGTACTTCTTCTTTGGTAACCTTCCTAGGACCTTCCTTCTTCTGAAGACACTGGTATGGACTGCATTCTTTACTAAACAGCTGTTCAAAGCCATAGGCTTTGTAAAATAAGCATTTTAACAAAGTAACTTCACTTCTCTCACTGATTTTTTCTTTGCTGTGACAGTCAAGAGAAATGGATTTGGATCCATAGTTACTGGATATTCTAGGAAAATGCAGGGTTACTGTCTCTGAGGTGACACCTAAAAATGTGTTATCAGTGCTTCAGTAGGTGGGGGAGCACTACAAGCAGGGACTTTTGTCTACTCACGGTATGACACACCTTCTCTCTAGTCTTAGTCATATCCAGCTTGATGATATTTTCTCTGCTTTTCAAAGCAGAGCTCACAGCCTGAAGTTCTGTGAGAACTTCACAGATAGCCTGTGGCCTATGGCTGAGGAAAACATAGCTCTGTCTAGGAAAGAGAGATGGAAAAATCACACCTTCTTCCTTTGCCCTTGGCAATGTCACACTAGGGAAATGAGCATCCTTAGGACTGCCACAGAGATGTTCAAGACAAAGGTGTGACAAAGGCAGAAGTTCTATGCCAAGGTGCTTTGTGGTGTTGCATCTGCTGGGTTAAACTGCTCAATTAAAACAAACCTTGGTTCTTGGTACAGCCGTGTGGAGAAATTTCACCCCTTATCCAAGGTCATGCATAACTACATCTTAGGAAATGTTGTTCTGCACGACTTGTAGTGGAGTAGTCTTCCACAATCCCTGCCCAGGAGGGAAGAACCCTAAGACATATTTTGCCTCTCCATGTCTTGGGGTCCAGAGGCAGCAACCCCGACTTTGGCACAGACAGAAGAACAGAGCCAGAACACGAGAAGCAACAGCAACACTGTCAGCAATTAAAGAGGTTCTTGCTGAACAAGTCTGGCCTGTTGGCACCATAAACTTCATGCTTAGAAGGTGCCATGGTCTAGGATATGGAAGCTGGGTGATGGTGCAGGGGGCAGGTACCTGGGCAGGTATCTGTATCACCTCTATTAACTGTATTGCTGTAAAGGCAGCTTGCTCAGAGATTAATGCAAAGTGATATATGATAGCTGAGGTATCTGTTGAGCACATGGTCTTTAGTGATTGTTTCCCAGAAATGGGAATTCCTGTTGGAAAGTTAACATGGAAGGTCTTCTCTATATTAATTCTAGAAAACGCACTTTGCATTATTTATTGTCTACATATTTCTCGCATGACAATGATTATCCCTGAAGCACACACACAATGCTCTATGCACAGCTAATAAAGTTACAAAACTGTTTTGAATCATGTTACAGTAATTGCAGAATCTGTGTTCTACCTGTGTTTTGGGGAGCTTTTAATAAGTTAAGAGAGAGCTGTCAATTCCAAGTAATCACATCTGTCAAGGGTGTTGTATCGAGAAGGAGCAAATATCACTAGAATAGCCAGGTAAGGTGCTTGTTTGAAGTGTTTCCTTCAGGAATTATGTCATTTCTACCCTCTGGTATTTAGTCGATCTTTAACAGAGGATGGGAGTAATTGACAAGGTGCCTAGTTGAAGTTTCTGTGTTAAAATTTCCTAAAAAAAGAAATACCATGTTAATTCCACCAAAAAGAAAATAAAAATACTCGAAGCAGTTAGAGCCTGCTGTAGCAATTATCTCTACCGGCAGCAAGAGGCAGAAATCTGCTTCCAACCTTGCTTCTGAGCCAAGGACTTGGAAGACAGTTATGAAACTAGTTTATTCAACCTTTATTTTTTCCACATTGACAATGAAATGTCTGACTGCCATCTTTCATGCTTTTAGATCCAGATAATTTTATCTGTAATGACATTTATAACAACATTTTAGGGATTATGGATTGGTCCTTCGAATTCAGATAATTGAAAAAACAAAGTATCTTTGCTTTTAATTTGTGTGTGACTGTAACTCTGCCTGTCTAAATGGGTCAGGTTTTCAGCTCTCATTCAAAGGGGAGAGAGTGCTTAAACAATCACTTCACATTCAAGAAATAATGTCCTGACATCTGCTTTTTCCTAAATTTGGAAACATTTGTTGGAAAAGACCTACAGTATCCAAAGTGGAAAACCCCCTCAGAAAAGAAGGCTGGAGGAGGGATAAAAAAAGTGAGGAACTTTAATTCACCAGTTGAAATGAGAGTCCACTAAATATGTGGAGAGTGCAAGAGAAGAGGGGAGGGTGATATTGGTGATGTTGTTGATGAGTAATTAGTTGGTATATGGTCTCCTTGTGGGATGGATCAGAAGACTTCCTTTTGGTCCACGGGATTCTTGAAGGCTGGATCAGTTTCTACTGTTCTAGAGAATTTCCTGGCCTAAAATAAGGGTCAATTTGCATTGTGTCTCACAAAGGAGGGATTTTGTAAAAAGGTAAGCACTTCAGAAAAGCAGAATATAGGATATATATAAACAACTTCAGGTGCTATATGTGTGTATTCATACATACACATATATATATATTCACACTCCAATTATACATATATGAAGTATAATGTTTAAATTTTGTTTTGCTTCTGCATGCACAGAGGTATGAAGAGGCAGACATGAAGGTTTCCAAGCCTATCCCCTTTTAAAAATCTTTTCAACTAGTTTTTGCAATTTAGTATACTGTAACAGGCTTGAGATTTACATCTGAAGCCGGGTAGTGACTTGTCTGTCAGATTAAATAATCTCTTATAGCAAGCATTTTATGGCGTAGCACCCTGACTGCTAGGAATCTAGACTAAGGAGACAGTGGCATGTTCACAACATTTATTTTTATTCACCCAGCCACAGGCTTAACCTTTTTAACATTATTTTTCAGAACATGGCACAGAAACAATGTATTTTTCACATCCACAGGAAGAGCTGTTGCATTATTTCCATTGTGAAGACCTGTCATATATTACTCTCTTGTATATATATATATATATGCTTTCTTGTTTTGTTGTATTGCAGCAGAAAAAGCCACAAAGACATACCAGGAATATCTACCCATGTTCTCCACCCGAATTATAGATTAATTTCTTTGGGTTTTGTTTTGATTTTTTTCTTTTTAATAGTGTTATCTTAAAATCCAGAAAGTAGCAATAGAAGTCCAAGGAGATCAAGATAATAAGCTAAGGGATATGTTCAGGGTTCATACCAATTCTTTGTCTGAGAATTTTGAGGGAGACAGAATAGAGCAATAAATGATGCCTTTTCAACCAAATACAAATTCTCATAACTATGTTGAAGCACGTGATCTTGCCACTTTGAAATCCAGGAAATCACCCCAAGGAAATCTACAATGTCCATTCTCACATTCCTGCATGTAAACCATTAGAGCTTCTGTGGTGGCTAATGAAGTTCAGGATTCATTAGGGCTTCATGCCTGTGTATTCCATTAAACCTGTTTTGGGAGACATTCTGCCATAGGACTGGTCTCTGGATTTTATACACCTACTAATATTTTTAAGGATATTTTCACATCAATAGACACATTAATCTTTTAAACTGTAAACCAAATATAATCTGAATAAAGAATGACTTGAATTGAGGAAGGGACTTAGAAAATGTGGTAACTAAAATAGTCTTTTCCAGAGACTGGGGTCAAAGAATGCTATAAGGCTGTGTTTCTTCCTAAATGGAGAAGTAAGCATCCTTTTTCTTTCCCCACTGTAAGCAGACAAGAATTTTTTACTTTTTTTGAGATGCATTGATAATATCTGCTAATTAGGGGTAGAATGGCTCTGCATCTTTCATCAAGCAAATAGTCAGGGCACTGCGTCAGTAGTGACTTAGTAGCACTTCAAGATTTCTGGAAATTCCTTGGCTTTCATCCTATTGCCACTCCCTAGCTGGACTGTAATGAGACTTGGATGGAAAATTTTAAGAACCTTTGTATTTTGCCTGCATAGAGAAAGGATTGCTATAAATTGACTACTGTTACCTTGGATATTTTTAGAGATTAGCAAAATGGATTGATTGTAACTGGACTATAGTCTCTTAAAGTAATTGTCTCTTAACAAAAGTGATTGTCTTAAGAAGAAAAGATATAAACTTACACATACATATGTTATGTTTAACTTTAGATTACAGTTAACATTATGGTAAATAGCTTCAGTGGTATGGAGATTTGAGGCAGAAAGACAAAACAAAGGCAAATCACAGTCAGTAGAATGCTGATAATAATTGTTTGTATTTAAGATTTTTGTATGCTCTCATGCAACTAAGCACACACAATTTAGCAGTGGATTTCTACTGAGGCTGGAATGGGATTAGAGTAGGCAGCACCTGAGTTGTGTGCACCCTTCCATTTACTTTTCTACAGATATATGGATATTTGCATTCTGCATGAGGTGATGTTTTGGATCATTGTGTGTAAGAACCTCAAATAGCACCAAGTCCAATGTCTGCTATTCCAGACAATGGAATATTTTTTAATATTACTAATGTGGAGTACTCACGGGAGAATACGTGAAGGAATCCCTTTGAGTAAATCCTCTATTTTTCAAACAATATGCTTACCATAAGACTAGTTTGAAGGTTTATCGAGAGATTATATGAGCAAACCTGGCTTATACGGGGATTTTGCCACATCCTTGGATCATACCCCACGAAAATAACAACAGACTTGCTCCAAAAATAAGAATTTATAGAAATAGACTTGTTTGTTTACCTTGGTCCTGTCAGGTGATGAACCCTTTGGCTTTGCCACAATGAGAAGTTACACAGATGTGTAACTTGGAATAATCCTTTTTGGCTCTGTTTTCTCCACCCTACATGACAGAGGATATAACCATCATTGTGCAAACATTGGTTTGCAAGAGGGTTTTGGCTCAGAAGAAGCTGACAAAGATGATGGTAAGAAATATCTGTTGGCAAAGGGTGACCTGGATAACCAACTAAACAGGAGCCATGACACTGCTGTTCTCCACATGCTGGTTCTTCCTTAGGACCACAGGAGAGGCTTGGGGATGATCTCCTCACAATATCTGCTCATCAGCAGAGGCAGCTGGTGCTGCTGTTGCTGAGAACAGGCAGCTGGCACATACACTACTACTATACACTGTACACTACTGCTACCTGCATAGGCTGGGGCAGAGTGGCTGGAAAGCAGCCTGGTGGAAAACGACATGGAGGTGCTGGGCAACAGCATCCAAACGTGAGCCAGTGTGTGTGTGCCTAGGTGGCCAAGAAGGCCAGTGGCATCCTGGCCTGCATCAGCAATAGTGTGGCCAGCAGGAGCAGGGCAGTGATTGTCCCCCTGTACCCAGCACTGGTGAGGCCATGCCTCGAGTCCTGTGATCAGTTCTTGGCCCCTCAGATCAGGAGGGACATTTTGGTTCTGGAGCATTTCCAGAGAAAGGCAACAGAGCCGGTGAAGGGTCTGGAGCACAAGTCCTATGAGGAGTGGCTGAGGGAGCTGGGGGTGTTCAGCCTGGAGAAAAGGAGGCTCTGGAGGGGCCTTATTGCTCTCTGCAATTACCTGAAAGGAGCAAGGCAGGGAGTCAGCCTCTTCTCCCAGGTAACAAATGTCAGGGTGAGAGCACACAGCCTTAAGCTGTGCCAGGGGAGGTTCAGGGTGAACATCAGGAGGAACTTTTCCATAGAAAGCGTTGTTAAGCACTGAATGCCCAGGGAGGTGGTGGAGTCACCATCCCTGGCAGT